AAACGATGAAAAAATTCTTGGAATTTTTCTTCAAATAAAAAAGAAATTACAAATAAAATATTGTAATTAAAATAAATTAAATAATTATTTTATAAAATATAAAATTATCTAAAACTAGAAATTTTTCATATTTTGAAATTCTTAGAGTTAACTGTTCTAAGTTTTTCCCCACCCCAACAGTTTACAGTTCCCTTCTAAGCCTCACTTTCTCTACCTGCAAATTTCCTTCAATACCCAAATCATATCTATTTCGGTTTTCAACTCTTAGCTTATAGCATCAGCTATAGACCATTGAACGTCTCTCACTGTAAAAGAATCGCGACAGTTATACTTCATTTTATAGACATATCTTAATCAGACTTGTACTGAGCGCAAGATATATCAAAATCTCCGCATTTTCCAGATCGGCTAAAAGAAACCCATTTTGAGAAAACAACCATCGGCTCGTCTATCATTTCAATATCAATCTATCATTTCTACGTTGTTGCATGATGTTGCTGGTAGCGCGCAAAAGCTTTTGCAGCAGATTTAACACGGGCAGAGGCCGTCAGGTGGCCAGGAAAGCAAGCAAGCGCGGAGCGCAATCAATACGCTCGCAGAACGCGGCGGTGCCTCGTGCGCGACAGCTCCGGCTGAGCTTTCAGTCGGACGTACGAAAGCGTCGAAAGCTCACGAAAGCTCGTTTCGCTCGCGCGCGTCTTGCCGCGTTGCACCGAATCGTCGTCAAGAGGCTATAGGGTGGTGGACTTGACAGCAAGCGGCAAAATGGCGACTGCGATACGAAACAAATGACTTTTCACCAAAAGTTGATTGTGCAAGCTCCGCGTGATACGCTTCGTATACGCCTAAGACAGATTCATATACATTTGGATCAGCTTTGAGCGAAGAGATTCGAACTCGATGAAACTAGTTGGTATAAGAACGTTGTCCATGATTGGAAGACTCGTTCGATTGTCATCAAAGCTCGATCTTTTTTTATAGAAACAATTATCGAGATTAAAAGTAAAGAAAGTGGATGATTAAGTCGAAATCGACGATATGATCAACGTGGAGAAATTCGTTCGATGACTATTTGGCCGCGTGAAGTTGAGTTAGCTTGGATTTCCGATTATCGATCCAGGTGATCGATTAGCGTGATGAATATCGATAAAGTGGACTAATGATATTAAAAGGTGGCGTGTGGTACACTGCTTCTTAGCTGAGTGACGATCGCGTCGGTTTTAGCCGGCTTCGATGGCTTGACGAATCTTCGCAATAGTTAACGCGATCCATTTATGCGATCATGCATTTGTACTTCGAAAAGAATAACAATGCCAAGTGCGACTGCAACATCTTGTCGCTTAGCTGGATGGGCAAGGTGCCGGACGAGTCGCCAGAGGTATGTGATTTATTCTTTCAATGGTTCTGTATATTTCATACTGTATATTTCATACATTCGTTTTGATAATAATGGCAATCTTGTGAAAATAAGTAAATATAATTCAAACATTTAAAAATTGGAAAGTAAGGAAAAGTCATATTGACAATGAGATATAAGTTATATTTACAATCAAATTTTTTTAAAAAAATTGGAAAAGTATTTTTTCTTTCTTTTCTTAGTAATCCGTTTTAAAATTTTGATGAAGATTATTGATAGACTTGATTTCTTTATAAGTAAATATATTCACTTCTTTAAAATAAAATATTTTGCTGCATCTTCAATACTAATTTTTTTATTGATGGCATAAGAAGACGCCTCAAACCATTATATTGATATTCATAACGAAAAAGCCTGTACTACAGATGTCTACGAGTATCCATATTTTACGAAATCAATTTCACGTGGAGGCAGACCTCCGTTTTAATACGTTTATCGAGCCAATAATAATCCTAATATAACACGATAACGTTACATCAACGATAAATAAGAATCAGCAAGTCCCATAAACGCCATACGGTTATTCTATTGCCCATTTCCTACATTTGTTTTTCCTGTGAATTTTTAGATTGCCACTAGGTTATTCTAGAGACACCAAACACGAGACGATAAATGCCTCGAGAAGTGTTATTTTTTTCTCGACGTCGTTGAAACTTTATGCAAATAAAATTTTCAACTTATTCTTTGACTTTATCTTCAACTTATACATTATGATAAAACTAACATGAAAATTATACAATACGATCAATAATTTCCGATTAAATGCAATATTTTTCGTCTACTTGTTTTAAAAAAATTAGTAATGTTTTTATAAATTCTTTTCACAAAATTTCGCGAAATATGACGAACGAGATATTGATTTACAAAAAATTCATCAAAGTATTCACATATTCACGAGTATCCATATTTCATGAAATCAATTTCACGTGGAGACAGATCTTCGTTTTAATACGTTTATTCGTTCGGTCGGGGCAAAAGGAATCTCGATGATAAAAAAGTGAACTAGTAGTATCGTCGAGGGATTAATTATCGAAGTTGCTTCGTTAGCTAGCTGTATAAGTCCCAGCAGAAACTCAGCATCGCCAACGGCGCATCGTCCACGCTTCGCGCAATATGTATTTTCAAACGAGGGAACGCAAAATGAAAGACGCGCGCGTTTTGCTCGAAGCGAGATATTCTTATATCGGTCGACGATCCTCTCTCGATCATTTCACGAAAGTGGCGTTCTCGCACCTTCGATCGAGATCCATTTTCGCGATCTCGCTTAACCTTTTACGAACAACGATTTTTTTTTTTTATTTTTATTAAATTTCACAAACAAATCTGAAAAAATTCTGGAACACTCATTGAAGTCTCTATAATATGCGATATATATTATTTAAAATCGTATTAAAAATAATAAATTCGCTATGAAGAGATTGGACGAAATTTTATGGATGTGAAGGAATCGTGGAGAGTTAATAATACCGGAGGAGAATTTTTGGCCACCGCATCAAAGCGCGCTAAGAGAGATTGGAATTCGTTTGGGTGGAGGTGGATGCGGCACGTGGAAGCGGCTCAAGCTCTCGTTCGAGGGCGAGAAAAATTCGAAAGGGGTGACAAAATGTGCTTAGGTGTATATGTAGCGTCGACCGCGGCAAAAATAAAGTGTCTCGAGTAGTCGTCTCACAGTCGAGTCCAACTGAACGACCTATCTTTTTCCTTCTTCGTCGCTTTGTACGTGCAGGATGACGCATCGGAGAAGTACTCGAAAAGCAGACATCGAGACGCAGTTATCCTGGTAGGATCTGCGAGAACAATGAGGTGAGATTACACCACTTTGGAAGGATTGTAAACGCTTATTGATTCTTTCATTGGCAGGGTTAACTATTCTTTCGATGTGTTGAATGGCCACTCTCTTTTAGCTTTAGCGTGCCTTTCGTGATAAAAGTTTTAAACAAAATTGCTCGACAACAAGATAATATAATATCATAATAATCGTTTGTGTTGATTCTTTACCAATTTTCTATTTCTTTTTTTCAAATTATATTGACAGTTCGGAGATAACAGAAATTGTAATTGTAAAAAGATAAATATGTAATAAATAAAAAAAATATTCATTCCGATAACAGCTCAAGTGGAATATGACATTAAATCGTATCTGTTGATAATCTTTTCGTTATCGTGCATTCAGTCTAATAATATAGTTATAAAATATAAATGTCTCGATAAATTAAACCGAAAAAAATACACGTTCTTTTTCGTTCTTCAATATTTTTTCGTTATGCGCTATTAAAAATAATAATAAATAATAATAAATATATAATAATAAATAATATCGTGCATTATTATTTAAATTATTAATTAAATAACAA